CCATCATACCGGGGCTTGTCTCTGATCGTACTACTCCCTTCAACGCCGCTCCTAGTAGAATCCAGCTGATCCGAACCAGACTCGTCTGTCCCCATCTGCACGCCTATCCTCAAATTGTTAAGTGGATACGATGTCGTGGTGAGGATATCGTCAGGACTTCGGACCGTGCCGGCCCCTACCGTCCATTCATACGTCGTCTGCTGGAACGTCTCGATAGCCACGTCCAGTGTTGACCGCAAGCATACGAGAGTAATGATCAGTGTGGGATATACAGCCTATCAACAGGCGTAGTTAGGCATGAGATGGGGGGGAAAGATAGGCATTATACCGTCAACTGCGAGAGGATATCTATCACAGGGTAGATACCATTGGTCCCACACAAAAAAGTGATGATCGCCACTAACTGTTTGGTTTACTCGAATCGACCCCAAAGTCCGAACAAATGAAACGCACATACCCACGTACATGAATAAAAGACACCAGACTCGATTAGGATAGCGAGGATGCCATTTTGCCTTCGGAATCTGGTCATGAGCGTCTCGCCCGTAACAGATTGGATAAACTTATTATGCGACCTTGACGGAGGTGATGTGAACATGAACTTCTCAGGTCATTCAAGCACACACCATGCGCGGTATGCAACGAGTGATGTCGCCCAGAGGTTCGTCGTCAGCGTCGAGCTGATGAAGGTGATGGCCCAAGTGCTCAGAGTGGGATTATCGAAGACAGTTATCCCTGGAGGAGCCATCGTAAATGCTCGAATTATACCGATAGCAGCGGCTTGGATTATCATCAGGGTCACATAGTAAGGGAAGAGTAAATGTATGCTCACCAAGCGTGACCGTGAGAAGGGTACCGGATGTGAAAATAACCCACCATTTCCGACCCCACAATACCCAAGCCCTCCATATGACGATTCCATCCCCGATAATGATCTGCGGATGTGTGTTCACTTTTAACGGTTTCGGGTAAGATAGCTTAACGAGACATACATTGACACCCTCCAGCAAGATCTGAGAATATATGTTCGGAGAAGCGTTGTCTTCCCATACCGTGGGATTGTCTGCACCGTGTCGACAGAGAAGCGCATGAAAGTTTTGTTCGAAGCTGATCACCATATGCGAGGTCGCTACTACCCACATTACGATGTTCAGCACGGTCATCACGATGATAATTGTGGTCCTCTTTCTTTTGAACCTACGACGGAGTTATCAACGTAAACACGAAATACGTGTATGGAACCCACAGTAGCAGATACATCGACACTAGCCAGAGAGCGGTGTACATTCCTAGATGTTTCTTTATGAAGGTTTCTCATACGGATGCGATTGGCGAGAACACACCATACAAGAAGACTTCGCATCCAAGAGCGATGAAGTACGCTTCAGCAAGCGGTAGCGATATCATTAGGCAACGAGGAAGTAGGGAGCTGCTTGCAGTAGAAACCTGTAGGTAGCATGCCTTAAAGCGGATCGCTTCTTCGTGACGCAAACTCTGCCAGGTGGCATGAAACACAAGTTGAATGCGGAGCAGGCAATAGGTATACAGCATAATTCATGAATGACCGATGTCAATGATGGGCCCTACCATGCATCGGCCTCAATATATGAAGTTGATATAGTTTGAAACTCGCGTACCTCTTTTGATCTTCAAGTATGCGCGCGCATATATCATAGCATAAGTCCTTAGGGCTCCCCATTGGCTCAGATGTGGATAACAACAGCAGGCCAGAATTCGAGGGAAAAGATTGTTCTGTCCTCGAACCCTGGCTTTTTCCCGGATGGTTGGGCACAAGGTCGTCGAAAAGAGGTCCGATAGTGTATGTAAGAACCCATCGTGAGTGCATTATGTCGAGATCGGCACGCAGGGGTGGTTTCGTTGATCTGAGAAGTGCTGTACGTTCTATCCTTGACATTTATCTTTAGTGAACGCAGTGAAGCAAGACCCATCTAGAAGACGAGAGACTTCACCGATGATTGACTAGCAGCCGGACAAGCATCTGGCCTGGAGTCGCCGTTGTTATGAAGCGGTCAAAGAATGGGGTCAACACAGGAACAGTACTAGGAATCTGCCGGTACCTCTTTCAAGCCCAAAAAAGGTCTTAGATGACGGGGAGTAACATTTCCGATACCGGTGCCTATGCAACGATATTAGCTCTCATCCATACCAAGTGAGGCAATCTAAAATATTCTTGAAGATCGATATAAATTCATAGAATGGAGTACACTTGAATTACCGCTCTCGCGTCGCGAGCCAACAAGTCTAGACTTTGGTATAATTCATATCCAATCACTTGTAATCTTTGATGACAATCAGAATAATAGTGACCTATATATTCCATGATTTCCTTACCTCTGTTGTGAGGAGCGACAAAATGATCTACTTTCCATTTATCAAATATCAATCTATACGACGCTATTGAGTGCGGATGCAGTTTCCGATGGAAGAATCACCCACTTCAGGGCTATAATGGGCGCACACATCCAGATTTTTGCGGGTACTCTGGACCGAAGGCTTTCGTCGTTGGCTGACCTTCATAAGTGATAATCCTCCTACAGCTCAAAGTGAGCAGACAAGATCACTAGTGGGACACCACACCCTTCCCCTGCCAACCAGGCTTATGCATAGATGCCCACTGGCAGAGTAGGAACTTAGTGTCGTGGAAGGCTTCAAGAGCATCTAGCGCTGGTGCGGAACAGTCAAGTCAAGAACAGCAACGGCTACCATAAGAATACAGATAAGCTGATTGTCGTTACAGTTTTGCAGTAATAAGGACATACCGGAACCCTAGTCCCTCCCTATGTGCCAAATTAGAGCAAATTTCCCGAAGGCATACCAGGCATTGGCTAGGTTTGGGCCCCCTATTCACTGTTTCTTTCCTTTACTTTGCGGCACCACAATGACGATAATAACGTCGTTTACGGGTATCACTACGTTCTTTATCATCCACTGCTAGACTCTGGGGTACCGACATTGACGACGCGTCAAGATGCGATACCATGGCTATATCATTCGAAAAGGCTAGTGTCGACGAGTTCGACGGGATGGCAATGTAATCTCGTCCTTTCAAGAATTATGGACGAAGCTTAGTTCTCAGGCTAACATTGTTCACTGTGACAGCCTAATAAGCTATACCGAGAAAAAGGAATTCTGGGCGAAGGACGAGGAAACAGTTATACGAGATCTGGTTGATATTTGGGCTCCGTTTCTACGGCATATCGGCAGTGCTGAGCCGGAATTCGGCGCCGCGTTCTGGGTAATAACTCTCAGAACTCTGGCTTCGGATGCCCAGATATGTTTCCGGTTTACCTCCGTACCACCATTCGTCGTTCATTCTCCACTGTCACTACCCTCGAATCTACGTCTTTCTATCGCACTGTACGTGTAAACAATATTTCAGAGAGTCATAATGTCAGCGGCGTCGTCAATACCCTCAAGGCCAACCCACTACAGGCGATAATACCCTCTTTTCGACAAAGGGATGGCCAGGCGGTGTATCTACCACAGTGATAGTCTCTACCAGCTATCCCTTCGCCAGCTGTCACATAATGTGATGTTGCTCTACTTGGAGTGTACCACTTGTCTCGCACCCTTGTCCTGAAGAACTTGCCCTCAGACTTGAACGAGATGGAATTGGAAGGAATTATCTCCCAGAAAAAGGGGCTTGAGTCTTGGAGCTTTTACCCGTCAGAAAATGGTGCCGTGGAACATTTCTTGGATATACATAGTGCGTTCGAGGTACGTCTGCTGTTTCATTTCTGCGACGTAGATCCTAACTGCTGACAGGCACGCATAGAATTTCAAAAGGCAGGAATGCCCGCAAATTTCCTCAAACAGGAGGCGACTATATCTTTCCTGAATGATTTCCTGAGGATGAGGATGGCCGGGCTTTTGTGGAGAGCCGCGTGGAGATCTCTAATATTCGAGACTTAAACACTCTACTTGTTGTGCGTGATTGGATATCCAAGTTTGAACAATCCGGTCCTGCTTGTTTGATTTTTACTAGTCTCTATAAGCAATGAAGAGTGAACGCTGCGTTACCTCTGTACATCACGTTTCTTATCGTCGTACCAGATGCTCACGGTACAGCTCGCGACGACGGAATTGAGGTTTCTCGAAATTTTTAGCGCAGGTGCACAAGGTCAAGGTATGCAGCTGTCATTGGCGAAGATTCGAGATCCACTCCCACGGTATGGTCACCGCTATCGGCCTGGGCGCACAACGAACTGTGCGCCTGAAACTTTCCAATAAGAGTCCGTACTTGAGGAGAAAGGAAGAGTACTTGTACTTCTTCTGTCAGTTCGGTGCCGTCTCTGGGTCGTTCAGGTGCCGTCTCTGTTTCATCATTTAATTGTTCTCTACTCAAATAGCTATCAGAGATGAGCGATACCACGAATGTTGCTGAGCATGTCGCAATTCAAAGCGGACATGCTCGACTATTTTCCCGAGTTGAAGGGCGCCGCTATCACTTTTGCGGGTGCTAGCCACTTGACACCAACTCGGGTGCCAAAATGGGAATTTGCGCGGTCTTCCGGCTACCACAGTCGCCAGCGAAAACAGCATCCTTCCCCTACGGAAACCCCGACACCTTTGGGCTGCTTGAATGATCCTCGACGTACTTGTGGACAATGGCGTGACCTTCCTGCGTTATCGTAGTTCTGCACAGAACGTGCTTGGCGGCAAGTTCACTTGGATAAAGAGCTCTGACGGGGGGAATCATAGGTACTCCTGGATCAATACTTACGCCAATTGAACTTTCCTTATCATTTTTGAAGTCTGTTTAGGGAGAAAGTCTTTGTGGTATGCAACGGCGCCCAAAATGATTCAAGGCCTCAACGTCAACCGTGTATCATCAGATGGTTCTTATACCGTAACGACGCCAAATACGACAACGACGGCTATGGCCGACCGCACATGGGATCTCTTTTCCCATGTCATCCTTGCTTCCTCCGTGATTCTAATACATACAATAAGATCGATGTCTATTGGTATGCTTCCATGCCCGTCTAGCTCAATAGGTTAGAGCATCAGAGACATAGACTGAGCACATGACTTGTAGAATTCCTAGAATTCCACAAGTCAGGTGCTTAACTCTTCCGAAGATGTGAGTTCGAGGCTCGCGACGGGCATAGCAGCAGGCCAACTTTTTTCAACATTCATATTCAAGTTCATGTGACGTATGGATGAAGTTTGAACTCGGCAAATAGCTATTGAAACACCCTCAAATGCATCTTTCTTCCAATGTTATAATGACATCCCGTCCGCCAGGCATCTACCATTCATCTCTCGGGTTTCAAGGGCAATAGTTCTCAGGAACCCCGACACGAACGAGACTGAGTCTGGCCCTTTTCGATACTCTCTGAGGAAGTTCGGGGGAACGGCCCGTCCGCTGTAGGTAAGTCGTGTGTAGCTCGACTAGGTACGCTTGATGTCAATGATTTGTAGCACATCCCTTTGTGGCTATTCCTTCTGGGACGCGACGACAGGGTTGTTTTTGTTTTCCTTTCCGAAAAATTGCCGCGGTAGCAAAAACCAGAGGACAGCCAATGGTTGCTTTTCCACATGTATGGTAACTACTAACACTATGCGAAATCGAGTTCAACCTGCGTCGTCTGGACACCCAGTATCAGCACACTGTAATATCTTAGACTTGGATATTTAGTATTATGGTTCCTCAATTGGCGTCAACACCCGTTGTCACATCGTTATGCAAATTGCCACCGTCTTTTGTCAAGTACAAACCCAAACATAACGCAGCCTTAATCCAATTCCAAGTCTAAAAATGATGTCAACATTCAAGGTACCAGACCACGAAACCGACTATCATCAAAGTCACCGTAAGAGCAACGGCAACTAACCTGGACACCGTCTCTCGCCTTCAATGCCGAAAAATGTCTCCCGACAGTCTGCGTCATCTCGTCGCTCGTAAACCCACCTGGGTAAAAATAGATCAACTCGATCTCGAGACGACGGAATCGCGGGAAACGGTGACCAGCAAGAGATCCATCCAACACCTTCCATAGGCTATGAGTGGCGAACACCATACAGTTTTCCTTTGGATAAAGGCGCAAGGTGAGCTCCTCGAGTGCGAGTTGCTCGTCGAGGACGCATCTCTTGATCCCCTGCTCAAGTTCATCCATATCTGTGTATCGAAAATTTGGCGGTAGGAAGGTTGTGATGGAAAGATGGGGAAGATTAAAGAGGTTGAAATCAAAGATTTCTAAGATATCGCAAAATTTTACTGTTTATCAACTCGATTGTCAGCGTACTGCGAAATGAACAGAGAAGGAATTGCACGTACTCTGAGTATTGTAAATTAAATGAAGATTATCGAGTGTTTCGAACGAGTCGCTCAAGATCGTTTTCGCTCTCAGGACGTCCTCTCGGTTCCATAAACTCAGGCCGCACCGACGCAAATAACGGAAAGAAGCAATATCTCCCTGGTCAACCAGCTCCCGGAAGGAAGCGATTCGCGTATAGCTAGTCGCGTGGAAATAAAAAGTCTCCAGACGTCTAGGACTCTTGGACTGATGTACCATAGCTCCTTCCGTGTTTTCTTCATAATCCATATCTTTGATTGTGAGCAAGCGAAGCTCAGGAAAGGCCGCCAGGAAATCATAAAACATCGAAGAGTTCTGGAATGTGACATCGGTGAACCTGAGCGACGTGATGCTTCCCTTGTGAGATCTCAATGAATTGAGAACCCTACTTCCCTGAGGCTGAAACCCGAAGGACAGCTTGACGTGCCGGAGATTGCACATAGCGGCAAGAAGGGTGTATAAGATCTCCTCTTCGGCGTCGCCCGAACTCAATGCAATGGAGAAGATCATCGGCATGATTTCGGGAGATGCTATGAAGACGCGATCATGGAATTTATTCCACGAGTGATGTCCTTCGGAAGTCAAGATGATAGAAGAAAAGAGGTGCTTTCTACATCGAGGGAGAAAAGAACGGGAAACGAGGGAGCAACAAGATAGATTGCTGTGTCGGTAGAGAGAAGGGGAAATATCCTGCACTTCATCGATGATCGCGTCTATGATTTCCTGAGGGATAGATGCCATAGAACAGAGATGCCTGAAAATGCAGATGCACTGAAACATCAGAATTCTGGTAAGGGCCAAGAGTAGGGGAGTACCTAGTGACGACTTCAAGTTGAATACTCAGTGGATATTCGAAAGGCCTTGACGATGAGAGGGAATCCAGGTTCAACTGGTTTAAGGCTTGGAAGGTTTATAAACGGTGAGCCGGGCCGCATGAGGCATCCTGTGAACATGCTTGCTTAGCAGTGCTCAATGCTCAGCGCTCGCCCATCTGGACTCCGGAAGGGGGATATGAAACGTACAGAGGTATCGGTATCCTCCGAAGAACCCGCGAGTAATGGATTAAGTACTTATCAGGTAAGGATCCTTACCAATCAACGTAAAAATCGGAAACAGTTCAACTTCAATAGATGACAATCAATAAATTACAAGCACGTCAGGTACCGGTGGAGCTGCAAGGGGGGGTGGGATTAAATTGGGCAATTATTCTATCCTCATTAGTATGAATCGAGAGTATCTAAAGTTTAACGTGACCCGTATAACAAGCTCACTGCTAAGCGAATTGCTTAAAGGCTTCATGATACTGCAGAATGATGCGCCGATTCTCCAAAGGCCGCATTCCGTTCTCCGATAACTTGGCGATATTTGGAACGGGAGGGATTAGCTTGTGAACAACGATTTTCTGGGGAGAAAACTGGGCAGTCGTAATAGAGTGGAGGAGGTCAGCAGTGACCGGAATCTTGTAGAACGTCGGGACAGTTCCCCTCAAAGTGAACCCAGCAAGATGCTTTGACCTGTATAACCGGGAGTCTTGCCAGCCTGCGATGCCTGTTATTCTCATAAAACGCCGCAATCGCGTCTGGGATGAGCTGGGGCTCTGGATCGTCGCAGACGTGCGATACTTGAGAATCGTTGATATTAGTAATTACTTTCTTGACACTGTACGATATACTTTGTCCCCCTGTACAAGAAGGAGATACTCGTTGTCATCCAGAACACAGATGTCTGGCTTAGCATCAACGCAGATGCCACATATTATGAAGCCTGTCTCCATCCGTTGATGTACAATACGATCGGTTCTCCATAGCCCAACAAATCAAGGAGATACGAGGCGAAATCCTCGACGGAAGATGCCGTTGGTGCACCTGAGGGGAATCGCATCATAGCATCTTTCACGTAATGGAAGAAGAGTCGACTGGATTTGATTATTGTTGAGAATGACAGGATCTACTGTGGGTGCGGACAAGTTGGGATTGCCGAAAAAAAGTGGCCAGGCCCTCGGTTACAACAGTGATATTAAACGCGTAGAACTTGTTTGTCGTCCAGTCATTCCCAGATTTTGCAGAACGTATGATGTTCGCCATGTTGGTTTCGAACGAGCCGTAATAAGAATCCAGTAGCGGCAGTTGCCGGTCCCCGATTCTTTCCTCTTGTATGAAAAACTGAGCTGTACCCGAACTGTATCCGTTTTGTTGACTTAGTGGCTTTAGGTAACTGCTCATTCAAGAGGAATTAATACGATACACCTTGATCAGACGTGGGAAAAGTACTTAGTGGCGCAAAATGCTCGCATTTTGACAATCTAAATCTCAGAGTGCTCTTCACTCGAATTGTTTGCCCCTGCATATACGTATTAGGTCTCAAACAAGAAAATATTACCTGCTACGTACCGTACAGAGTGCGTAGACCAATAGGGAGACCAGAGGTGTGGGCCAACCCTGCGCGTGGCGGGTCCAAGTCCTATGTCTTTGATGAGTACAACCAGCACATCCTGTTTGAAAAAGACTTGCTCAGCGGAAGCCTTCAGCCGCCTCCAGCTCGCGTTTTCTCAGTCTTATATTTACAAAGATCATACGTTAGCCTCAAACATATCTAGACAAGTAAAACATTGGCAAAGACTGGCATGAGAATAATAGGGCTGCTAAGATTATAGAATAACTAATCCAGCAAATACGCATATCATCAGGGCAGATAGGGCAACAGTCGTAGACTCGGCAACAGCAGCCAGGAATAGAAAAGGTTCACATGAGTAAGTGAAAGCAGGTAAGCCCGGCAACGGCCGCCGCAAATAGAAATGTTCCCACGAGTCAAGCAGGGTAGGCTCGGCAATTGCCACGAATAGATTTTCCCATAGAAAATTCAAAGTAGCATAATAACCGAGTAACCCTATATACATAGGACTTGGAACGGACGAAGAGGACAGACGAGGACAACAGAGAAAGGGTGAACACGGAGTGAGCGGAGACAAAAAAAGAACGGCGCAGAAAGCTATGTAGACAAGTTTCCCATGCAATGCCAAAAAAAAAGAAGTCAGACAACGCAGAGAAACACAAGAAGCTTTAAAAAAGAAATAAAGATGAGACGATACGTTAATACAAGAACAGGCGAGCAGGACAAGGCCGCGATAAATTGAAAAAAGCATCGGCCCGATGGCTCGGCAAAAGCCGCCTCGAATAGAAAATTCCCACGAGTCGGGTAGGTGGGCTCGGCAAAAGCCGCACCAAAAAGATTTTCCCACAGGACTTTGAAGGAGCATAATAACCGAGTAATCCTATATACATAGGACTCGGAACATCGGGATTGAAGTATGTTCAGCGGCATCGACGCTGCCGTGAAGCTGTTGCGTGCCGTGGGCTCACTAATGCCGACCCAGAGTATAGCCTGTCCAGAGCTCAAGACAGTTACACCTTGCTATAACCCTCTGTCGTTTCCTCATTGTTCGGAAAGAATCGGGAGCTCCGATTTGTCGGACTTCACGTGATGACGCGTCATTTATCCAGATTGCCATTTGTTTGCTTCCTCTCTACATGTATAATCCTGGAGGGCTTTCGTTCTGCAGCTGCTCCATCCTCGTCTTCCTCGTGATTTTTTGCTCTGCTTCCTGGTCTTGCGCGTAATACGCGACTAATCGGCGTTACTGCGGGGGGTGGAAGAAGCCCTAGCATTTCAGCAGCACTAGGGTCAGTTGATTTAGGCGACACTCGAATATCAGGCAAGATGTCCAGTTTACGGTCCGAAAGTTGTGTCGTGACTCTCAGAATCATCTTTCAAGTTGCCTGATCTGGAGATGATCATTTAGTGCGATACAA